CAAGTAGCCAGAACTACAGGTGCGCTACCACGCCCAGCTAATTTTTGATTTATTATAGAGATGAGGTCTTGCCAAGTTGCCCAGGCGGGTCTCCAACCCGCGGGCTCAGGCAATCCACACACCTCAGCCTCCCAAAAGTGCAGGATCACAGCCTGAGCCACCGAGCCCGGCTTGTGATATTTTTAATAATTAAAGCTATATTAGGCCGGGTTCGGTGGCTCAGCCTGTAATCCCAGCACTTTGGGAGGCCAAGGCCAGAGGACTGCCTGAACCCCCGGGGTTCAAGACCCATCCAGGCAACTTGGCGAGACCTCATCTCTACAATAAGTTAAAAAATTAGCCAGGCGTGATAGCGCACGCCTGTAGTTCTGGCTACTTGGAAGGCTGAGGTGGAAGGATCACAGGAGCCCAGCAGGTTGAGGCTGTGGTGGCCGGGAGCGTACCCCTGCCCTCCAGCCTGGGTGACAAAGTGAGACTCCAACTCAAAAAAAAACCTAAATTAAAGAAACAAAGAGTCCCTACAAAGAATTCTAGAGGTAAGAACTCTAGATTAAGTATTAAAAATCCTGGGTTTGATGCTGGGCACAGTGGATCACGTCTGTAATCCCAGCACTTTGGGAGGCAGAGGTGAGAGGATTGCCTGAATCCAGGGGTTCAAAACCAGCTGGGGCAACTTGGGGAGACCTCGTCTCTACAATAAATCAAAAAATTAGCCATACATAGTGATTCCAGTTACTTGGAAGCCTGAGGTGGAAGGATCTTCTGAGCCCAGCAGGTCGAGGCTGAGGTGGCTGAAAGCGTACCACTGTACTCCAGCCTGGGCGACAGAGTAAGACTCCAACTCAAAAGAAAAAAAAGAATCCTGGGTTTGGGGAGTGACTCCTCCAGATACTAGCCGTATGCCCTAAATCAAGCCACTTAACCAAAATGAGGGAACTGAATTTTAAAAGAAGACTGATCAAGCCTCCTTTAACTCTAAAATTCTCTGAGTTTTGCCTGAATCCTTTGTAATAAGACAGTTGTGAAAGTCAAACAAGATACTGTGCACCAAAACACTAAGAGGCAAGACAACACATTAGAGTACATACTTTAGACAGACCTGGGTTCAAAATCTTGCTCTACTTACAAAATCTGTGACCTAAGGCAAATTACTTAACTTCAGAGCCTGATTTAATCAACCCTGAGTCACAGGGTTATTGTGAGAAATAAATGAAACAATCTAACCTCAAATCCTTTCTGGAACATGACAGATGACCTTATTAATAAAATATCATTGACAAAACTGTATAAAGGACTTGGTTCATTATAGTTGCTTCATAAATGGCAATTACGTAAAAAGTCTCTTTGAACTGTAAGATGCTATACAATTATTAATATATTCTTATTCAGTCAGGCACAGTGGCTCATGCCTATAATCCCAGCACTTTGGGAGGCAAGAGGATCACTTGAGCCCATGAGTTCAAGACCAACCTGGGCAACATAGCAAGACCTCGCCTCTACAAAAAAATACAAAAGTTAGCTGGGCATGGTGGCATGTGCCTGTAGTCCCAGTTACTCAGGAAGCTGAGGCAGGAAGATCATTTGAGCTCAGGAATTTGAGACTGTGGTGAGCAGCAATTGTGCCACTGTACCCGGGCAACAGAGTGAGGCCCTCACTCAAAAAACCATGTGTGTGAGTATGTTATTACATTCTTTTTTATCTGTGACTTGGGCAGTCTTGAATTCCACACTTAATTTGCCTCTAAACTAATATTCCTTAGGGAAAAATAGGAAAGAGAAATGGATAAGGGCAAAAGGGAAGTTTACAGAGTAGAGGTGACAGAAGTGATTAAAAGGACAAAGAAAATGCTTTAAATGTCTGTCAGGCTAGGTTAAAGAAAAGAGAGATGTAATCAACGATTTGTCTCTGACTGGCAACAAAGTGCTGAGAGCACTTCCCTCCCTGAAAACTCTGACTTTACTCTATCAGCTCCAGTAAAACAAACGACAATCACCACTTGGTTTCCTATTGGCTCTGGAATTGAAGAGGGTGGGGAAGGGGCAGGTAAAGATGATCTAATTCACAAAACTGTTGTGCTGAGACATTGCTGTTCCTCCTGGACCTGCCTTTTCCCCCTAAAACCCAGTGTTTATACCCTGTTTTCAGGACAAGAGTTTACAAGATTTTTTTCTGCATTCGACTCGACCCAAAAGCTTAGAAAAGAGAATCAGGAGGAAAATTTTTATCAGAATACCAGGTTATAAGGTGAAAGGTCATAAACAACTCTATCCAGGAGGGCTCTGCTTCACAACATGCCTTGGCTGCAGGCCTGGTAGGCAGCCACTGCTGCCAAAGCTAAATCGTTTTTGGTATTCAAGGGAATCCAGGCACAACACAGAGTAAACAGGTGGTCTGTCCTGAGCTTTTTATCTGGTAAAATAAAAAGAAACTGGAGCCTGAGAGAGAACTTAGAATAAGAATCATTTTGAACTCTTTTTTTGAGTTGGAGTCTCACTGTCATCCAGGCTGGAATGCATGCAGTGGCACACTCATAGCCACCGTAGCCTCAACCTGCTGGGCTCAGGCGATCCTTCCGCCTCAGCCTTCCAAGTAGCTGGAACTACAGGCACGCACTACCACGTCCAGCTAATTTTTTGATTCTTTGTAGAGACGAGGTCTCGCCAAGTTGCCCAAGCCGGTCTCGAACCCTGGACTCAGGCAATCCTCCCACCTCGGCCTCCCAAAGTGCTGGGATTACAGGCTTGAGCCACTATGCCCAGCCCCAGCTGAACTTTTAAAATTACTTTCATTGAAGTCCCACCTCCTCTGCTCTCAATAACTCAACATTGTTGGTCAATTGAAAACACCTCAAGCCTAGTTGGTTAACTTTCTAGAACGGGGTGCCACCTTGAATACACCCTAAGGATCAACATGTTCCTGGGACTTAATGCTGTACGTGTGAGTGCGTGTGTGTCACGATGCCTGATTCTTGAGCTTGCTTAATGCTTGAACTGTAACTTGTTAGACTCAGGGTGGCTACCCAGTTAGGGTATATAAGGCAGGAAGCAGGATCCTTAATAGCAATTAATAGACTTCTTTTGGCCGAGACGGTAGGATTTTAATATACTCCAATGCTACTCACTTCTCCACCATCTTGATCGTGGGGACATTATCTTCCTCCTTCTGGCACCAAGGAATGAGGTAATAATCTCCTGATACCCTGAGGCAGATAAGGGAAGGGCCTAGTAATCACAGAAAAAGGGGAAGAATCCCTCCACCTCTGCATACGTTTTTCTTTTTACATTTAGGAATAATTTATCAGATGTCAGCTCCTAAGGCATCTCACAGACGGCAGGGGAAAAACCCATCTGACCGCCAAATGAAACGAACAAAAAATAAGTCAAGGTCTCTGCCAACTTGAATTTAGAGGGCTCCGATGACTTTTGTTTCTTCTCTTACCCTTCTTTCTGATTTCTAAATGGCTTAGGAGAAAACTCTGAAAAGACAAAAAGAAAAATGTTCCTTCAAACAGGTGTATAGCCACCTCTCCACTGACAATTTGGACATAAACAAGAGGACAGTCTTGTCTTGCTTTTAATCAGATTTACGGATGTACATTTGGTTTAGTGAGTTGGGAGAGGGGAATGAAGACAAGAGAGTGAAAGTAACACGGGAAGAACGTGAAAAGAATGAAGTATCTTTTTTTTTTTCCTTTTCTTTTCCTTTCCTGGAGAAGCAGAGAGGGAGATAGAGATGATCTGAGCCAAAAGACACACCTTACAAAAGAGGTAATGAAGCAGATGGGGAACAAAGTGTTCCCCAGCTTTGCAGGTAGAAAGTGAAGCGATGAGGGGATAACCAACAGGATCTGAACACACCCGGGCTATTTCCGTCCCAGAGAACAGAAGAGCGGGTACAGGCGGTGAGAACAGCACAGGCACTGGGCCCCGGCCCCGGGGTGCGAGAAAGGCAGGGCGGGGACATCAGTCCCACAGGCCGCTTTCCAAGGAGGACTGGACAGGGTTTACAAATCGTGGCAAGCTCTCCTTTCCTTCAGAAACGGTAGATTTGTCGGTATTTAGTAGAGATGCGCGACACGAGGGCAAAGGGGAATCATCCTCAACAGTAACGCCAGGGTCGCCTGCGCCCCGTGACCCCAATCCTGAAGTACTTTTGGAGCGAGGGCGTTGTTTTTCACAGGCGTGCTGCTGATTGTGAGGGGGGAATAAACGGCTGCCTCTAAAGTAACTGCGCTGGCTAAGACCAGGCATGACATTCCCTCATAAGCTCATTTTCCTTTTACCTCAAAACGCCGTTCTCGGGCCAGAAACATCCACACCCGCCCTCCGACGGCCACTCGACCTCGATGCGTTTTGGGGTCAATGGGACCCTCCTTCCCTTGGGTCTGGGGGAAGCCGCCTCACAGTCCCCTCCGCCCCCTCCGCCCTCTCGGCCTCCCTGCCTCCTCCGCCCCCTCCTCCCTGCATCGCCGCGGATCACAACAACCGTTTTCCCCGCCAGGAGCACACCGTGTCCACGCGCCTCTGTGCCCTCGCTGATTGGTCGGGCTCCTGGTAAACAAGGCCCGGGCAGCCAATGGGAGGGCTGTGCACGAGGGCAGCACGAGCCTCCGGCCCAGAGCTCGCGTGGCTCGGCCGGCCCGAGCTACTATATAGATCAGTTTCCGGTTCTCGGCTGAAACCAGCCTTTCGTCTCTTGGGTCGGAGTGCGATCAGGCATCTGCCGGATCGAGATCTCTCCGGCAGCCTTTGGGGAAAGAAAATAGGTTCCCTCCCCCCTTAAAGTTCTTTTTGCCTGGCAGCTTAAAAAATTGGGGCGTCTTTTCAGAAGCTTAGCAGCTAAAATTCGTTTCTGAGCTTCTTTAAGTCTTATTTTGCTTTTAAGCCCAAACTGCTTAAGGACACGGACACCCTCATTCCTTAGGAGTGAAATTTAACTGCAAAGGGTCCTTCCTGGATTTGGGTGTGTGTGCTTTTTTTTTTTTTTCCTCCTTTGTTTCTGACTCTTGAGCCAACTCAGCCCAGTCATGGTGATGTTCAAGAAGATCAAGTCTTTCGAGGTGGTCTTTAACGACCCTGAAAAGGTGTACGGCAGTGGCGAGAAGGTGGCCGGCCGGGTGATGGTGGAGGTGTGTGAAGTTACTCGAGTCAAAGCCGTTCGGGTCCTGGCTTGCGGAGTGGCGAAAGTCCTCTGGCTGCAGGGATCCCAGCAGTGCAAACAGACCTCGGAGTATCTGCGCTACGAAGACACGCTTCTCCTGGAAGACCAGCCGACTGGTGAGTAGCCCAGATGTTCACTGTGGGAGGGCGAAAAGCTGATGAGGGAAGACTGAAAGGGATTGGTAAACCTAAGCTAAATGTTTAAGTTGCTCAGCTTGAGTGGTTTGAGTTACGTGTTGCTTCCTTTTCTTTTGTAGCTTGAATTGGGAAACATTTTCCCTACCTCACAAAGAGTGGTTTCTACCACTTCTTAAAGTGCACCCTAAAAGTGATCCTGAGGCGTGGCACCTCAGTTTTTTAAAAAGCTATATGTATAAGTTGCTTATTCTTTGCTTCCTGTTTGAGATGTTATTAAGGGTAATTGTTCTTGGTGATTCTTTAAACATTACAGGGCTTTGCAACTTTCTCCCAACAAAACGCATCAGAATCTCTCGTTTAAGAACATAAGGGGTGAAACTGGGATATTACAATACCCTTGCATGCTACCTAAGCATTCTGTGTCACACAAATGCATTTTAAGTGTAACAGGAAACCTAATGGTTACTCGCTTTTCTCTCTCTTCAGGTGAGAATGAGATGGTAATCATGAGACCTGGAAACAAATATGAGTACAAGTTTGGCTTTGAGCTTCCTCAGGGGTAGGTAATAGCTAAATACATCTTAGAATTTTTGTCTGTAAATATCTTGTTCTCTTTTGATCACTTATTATTCTTGGGGAGCATTTTAAAGTTTTCTTTTTCTTGACACAGGCCTCTGGGAACATCCTTCAAAGGGAAATACGGGTGTGTAGACTACTGGGTGAAGGCTTTTCTTGATCGCCCCAGCCAGCCAACTCAAGAGACAAAGAAAAACTTCGAAGTGATGGATCTGGTGGATGTCAATACCCCTGATTTAATGGTGAGGTTCATTTTAGGATTCTACTTTCCTGGGTCACAGGGATGATAAATCAGGTGTCCTGGGCATTAGATTGAAGTATCTCAAAACACCTTTTTGTCCCCTTCTACATAGGCACCTGTGTCTGCTAAAAAGGAGAAGAAAGTTTCCTGCATGTTCATTCCTGATGGGAGAGTGTCTGTCTCTGCTCGAATTGACAGAAAAGGATTCTGTGAAGGTAAAAACCTAGTGCTTGCAGTGGTAAACAGATAAAACAGGAATTGTGGGTTTGGGGGTAAGGGTACAGACTGGGGAGAGAAAATGTCATTAACTATGCTTAGTATCACTTAACAAGTTTTCATCCTTCTCATTACTAGGCGATGAGATTTCCATCCATGCTGACTTTGAGAATACATGTTCCCGCATTGTGGTCCCCAAAGCTGCCATTGTGGCTCGCCACACTTACCTTGCTAATGGCCAGACCAAGGTGCTGACTCAGAAGCTGTCATCTGTCAGAGGCAATCATATTATCTCAGGGACATGTGCATCATGGCGTGGCAAGAGCCTTCGGGTGCAGAAGATCAGGCCTTCTATCTTGGGCTGCAACATCCTTAGAGTTGAATATTCCTTACTGGTGAGTAGGTGGGGGTTCTAGGAGAGAAATTGTTCATCTGTCACCACAATAGTGGTGTTTTTTCCAGACTGCTAGTTTAACCACCAACTACCATCTTCCTTTCTTAGATCTATGTTAGCGTTCCTGGATCCAAGAAAGTCATCCTTGACTTGCCTCTGGTAATTGGCAGCAGATCTGGTCTAAGCAGCCGAACATCCAGCATGGCCAGCCGAACCAGCTCTGAGATGAGTTGGGTAGATCTGAACATCCCTGATACCCCAGAAGGTGAGCCAGACTTAATGTCTTTTCTTCCCCTCTGGTTTGCTTGGGTTTATAAAATTTTGATGGTTCAGCATTTCTTGGCCAGGCTTCTTATCTACGTATATTTTCTCTTTCTAGCTCCTCCTTGCTATATGGATATCATTCCCGAAGATCACCGATTGGAGAGCCCCACCACTCCTTTGCTAGATGATACAGATGGCTCTCAAGACAGCCCTATCTTTATGTATGCTCCTGAGTTCAAGTTCATGCCACCACCTACTTATACTGAGGTGAGAATTGTCCTTTTTAATGTTACATTTGTCCTAAGCTTTCTATGGGAAGCTGACTTAGAGGAATCGCTTGTTCTTTTATTACTTTATATCCAGTCTAAGAGTCTCTTGTTTTTTCCTCCAGGTGGATCCCTGCATCCTCAACAACAATGTGCAGTGAGCATATGGAAGAAAAGAAGCAGCTGTATCTATTTCTTTCTGCCTCTCTACCTGAACACTCACTTTTTCAGAGACTCGACGGTCTCCATGGTGGGGTTACGGGTCCACCTCAGCCTCTGACTCCTTAACGTAGGAGGTGATCAGCAGGCAATCTCCTGGGCCTTAATGGGTGTGGACTCGTCCCCAACCAGCGCCGATGTTGTGATATAGGGGTTGATTGCTGGATGGGTTTAAAAACAACTAAAAAAATTCAGGCCTATCCGTTTTCTCAGATTTCCCTGAAAATTGAGGCATTTTCAGTTTTGCGTCAGGAGTAGAAATGGTCTCCATGCATGGTTTCCTTAAGGTATTTTGGAGGTTTTCTGATAGATTGTACTAACATTGGACTTGTACCTCTGTGCCATGTGGAGCAGGGCCAATTTAGTAAAGTAGGAAAATGAAAAGTCGTGGCCAAAACTTTGGAAAAAGGAGGTTCTTAAAATCAGTGTTCCCCTCTGTACACCTAAACAGAAAAAAACAAACTCCACAGGGTTGTTTGATTTGAACTTTGGAGAGAGCTTTTCCTACTTAATTAAAGGGAAGGTGCTCTAAGGTTGTCTTTGCTTAGAATGTACTTTAATCTGGCATAAAACAGGAGTCACTGTGCCCCACCAAAGGTCTTAAAAGCCATTTTAGAACTTATTGCACTGCGTTCTCTTGCTGAAAACATTTTCATATAAGAGAATGTTTTTGGGCTGGGCTCAGTGGCTCAGCCTGTAATCCCGCGCGTTGGAAGGCCGAGGTGAGTGAATTGCCTGAGCCTGCGGGTTTGAGACCCTCCTGGGCAACTGGCGAGACCTCATCTGTACGATAAATCAAAAAATTAGTCGGGCGTGGTAGTGCACGCCTGTAGTTCCAGCTACTTGGACAGCTGAGGCGGAAGCATCACCGGAGCCCAGCAGGTTGAGAATGCCGTGGCCGGGAGCGGCCACTGCACTCCAGTCTGGACAACAGAGTGAGATTCCAGCTCCAAAAAAAAAAAAAGTTTTGGGGTTTTTTTTTGTTTTTTTTTTAATGTGAGTCCTTGGAATTGATTCTAAGGTGATGTTCTTAGCACTTTAGTTCCTGTTAAACTTTTGTTTTTCCCCTATTATAAATGTAAGCTAAAACTGGGCTACTATGTCTCTAGGGATAAGCACAATGACAAAAGAAGTGGTAACTACTTTTGAGATTGTCACAATATATAGAATTATGTAATTCTAACACTCCAATCATTTAAAAGGGTCACTGTCAGCCTTGCTCACGGTGACCTATCAACCCAAGGAGGAACTCTCAGTCAAGACCCTGACACTGTGATCAGAGCCTCCAGACACTGCCATGAGAAACTAGAAGGTCTTCACAAAGGCCCTCGAATCCCCTTCCTCCCCAGTGTTAGGGGATAGGGATATTAGTCTTTCTCTCACTGCAGCTGCCAATACTTGGTCAGTCACCCTTAGCCAGAGCACTTTGTTCACTGTCCTGTGTCAGAGCACTGAGCTCCACCCTTTTCTGAAGAATTACTAGAACCAGAAAGTATGTGGGCTGAAAGTGGTTTCATATCTTTGTTTTTTAATATTGTATATCTTTTTGTATGATTAAAAGCTATATTTTGTACTTAACCAGATATATTTTCACCCCAAATGGGGGTATTATTTGTAAAAAAAAAAAAAAAAATGTAAAAAAATAAAGTTTTTTTAATGGCAAAAAATGAATGGCATTGGAGAAGTTACTAGAAAAAAGGGATGCTTAAAGTAGCTTTCCTCTACCTACTTCACAATCCACATTAATGAGAGCTAAGAATACTCCCTATTAACCCTAACAAATGTAGTCAGTGGGGGTTGGAGGGGAGAACAGAAGAAAGTTGAACCATGTTTGGTCTTTCCCGTTCACTAAATGTATGGGACCTTACAGTGGTCTGAGCTAGTTTTCCAAGTCCGTAGGTAATTTTACTAAATACAATTTTGGAGTTCATAAATCATTAAAATACAGGGAAATGAAGTTTGGGAGAAACGGGTGGAGGTTTCCTTTTTTATAATTTGGTTTTGTCAAAGCGTTTCCAATGCAAACCTGGTTTATATGCTGACAGGGATAACTATTCAGGAGTCATAAGTACTAAATTCTTTGGAGGCAGCTACCATTTCCACAGTTCCTATCCAAGTGTATAATCCTAGGTGAGAAACTCTAGAATAGTAGAAGTCAATGTGCTTCCTGACTTCTGGCTCATTTCAAGCTTTGCAGACAGAGCTAATCCTGGCCCTTAATTTAGGGATTGACGAACAATAATTGCAAATATCAGGTTCCTGGAAGTTCTACATAAAATCTGTTACTGGAGCTGGGCTTGGTGGCTCAGCCTGTAATCCTGCGCTTTGGGAGGCCTAGGTTAGTGGATTGCCTGAGCCCGTGGGTTCGAGACCTGCCTGGGCAACTTAGCAGCGAGCCCTCATCTCTACAATAAATCAAAAAAATTAGCCAGGTGTGGTAGCACGCGCCTGTAGTTCCAGCTACTCAGAAGGCTGAGGCGGAAGGATCGCTGGAGCCCAGCAGGTCAAGGCTGCGGTGGCCGGGAGCAGCCACTGCACTCCAGTCTGAGTGACAGAGTGAGACTGCAGCTCAAAAAAAAAAAAAAAAATCTGTTACTAGAAAAATGTAAAAGGCCAGGCACAGTGGCTCACGCCTGTAATCACAGCCTTTTAGGAGGCAGAAGTGAGAGGATTATCTGAGCCCGTGGGTTAAAGACCAGACTGGGCAATCTGGTGAGACCTCGTCTCTAAATAAAATCAAGATGTTAGCAGGGCATGGTGGTGCATGCCTGTGGTCCCAGCTACTTGGAAGGCTGAGGTGGAAGGATCACCCAGCAGGTCGAGGCTGCGGTGGCCATGAGCGTGCCACTGCACTCCAGCCTGGGTAACAGAATGCAACTCCAACTCAAAAAAAAAAAAAAAATCAAAAAGATTCCTTTCAGTTTCAGTCTTCATTTTTCATTTGTATATCTTGCATCCTGCACTGCTCTCTCCTCCCTCCCTTTGTCCCTCTGAATGTGCCAGTCTCTAGCTCTCCCTAGAGTCAGGGTGACTTTCATCTGAACCCCGCCCCCACTCCTTTCTCACCTGTTCAAGAATTTAGTGGCTCCTTTCTCTGAATTTGTGACTAGGTCAAAGTTGATGGGAAATTTTTTTCTGTAGCTTGTTTTCTGGGGACTGGGGGGTGGGGGTGGGGTGGAGCAAGGACAAGAGCAGATCAGAGGGCAGGACAAAGAGATGGAGAGACCATGGAACACATGAGCCTGGTTGTTTGTGTACACAGTCCAGTCACTGGTACAGATATGAGAAAGGGAATGACAGGGAGAGGGTAGATAATTCATACCCAAGGCTCTTAGAGATTTGATCCTGGAAGGGCTAGAACATATGTATCCCTTCCTGATACCCTTACTACTCCTAATCCAGCACTGTTCAATAGAACTTTCTATGATGATGGAAATATTCTTACCTGTCCAGTACTGTAGCCACTAGCCACATGTGACCATTGAGCCCTAAAATGTAGCTATTGTGATTGATGAAGTGAATTTTCATCCTGTTTAATCAATTTAGCTTTAGCTTTGTATGAGCAGTGCATCAACATCTGAGGAAGTAAACAGCTAGAACTGTTCCCCCAGAGGAAACTCATCACTCAGAGCACAAAGACTCCACACCACTTCCTCTCCTCTTGCCTTGTATACACAATTTCTACCTCACCCCAGGACATTTTCTGCATACAGGCTTACTTAAGTACACTTCCCTGGGTACTGGCCCAGCTGTTTCCTCCCTTAAGCCGATGAATGAATATTTTGGGTCTTCTTTGCCCATGCTCTTCTCATATACCTTTTAATTTTTACAGAGTTGTAACCTACATGTACAACCATTAGAGGAGATCTAGTTCTGAGTATCACTTATTCATTAGGTCCAATCTATTATAGGAAGATCTAAGAGAAGTCAGAAAGAAAACTACCTAGCCAGGTTCAGTGGCTCACGCCTGTAATTCCAGCACTTGGAGAGGCGGAGGTGAGAGGATTGCCTGAGCCCATGGGTTGGAGACCATGGGTGAGACCTTGTCTCAACAATAAATTTAAAAAATTAGGCCGGGCTCAGTGGCTTAGCCTGTGATACTGTACTTTGGGAGGCTGAGGTGAGTGGATTGCCTGAGCTTGTGGGTTCGAGACCCACCTGGGCAACTTGGCGAGACCTCATCTCTACAATAAATCAAAAAAATTAGCCGAGTGTGTTAGCGCATGCCTGTAGTTCCAGCTACTTGGAAGGCTGAGGTGGAAGGATCACCGGAGCCCAGCAGGTCGAGGCTGCCGTGGCTGGGAGTGGTCACTGCACTCCAGTCTGGGTGACAGAGTGAGACTCCAACTCAAAAAAAAAAAAAAATTAGCCAGGTGTGGTGGCACATACCCATAGTTCCCGCTACTTGGAAGTCTGAGGGGGAAAGATTGCCTGAGCCCAGGAGGTAGAGGCTGCGACGGTCATGAGTGTGTGCCACTGCACTCCAGCCTGGGTAACAGAGTGAGACTCTGACTCAAAAAAAAAAAAAAGAAAAATTATCTAAGGAGAGAAAAGAGCTAAAGAAAATAAATTTTAAGACGAGGCATGGTAGTTCATGCCTGTAATCCCAGCACTTTGGGAGGCCAAGGTCTAAGGATCACTTGAATCCAAGAACTCAAGACCATCCTGGGCAACAAAGGGAGAACTTATTCCTACAAAAAATAAAAAATTAGGTGTGGTGGCACACACCTGTAGTCCCAGCTACTCAAGGGACTGAAGTCATGGGGGAATCACCTGACCCCAGGAAGTCAAGTTTGCAGTGAGCCATGATTGTGCCACTACACTCCCAGCCTGGGTGGACAGAATGAGACCACAACTCAAAAAAAATAAAAAACAAACAAACAAAAAGTTATGGAAGAATCACAGAAATTCAGATGTGAAAAGAAAATAAATTTTAGAGATAGGGTCTCACTCTGTTGCCTGGGCTGAATGAAGTACAGTTATGTGATCATGGGTCACCGCAGCCTTGAATTCTTGGGCTCAAGTGATCCTTCCACCTCAGCTTCCTGAGTATCTAGGACTACAGGCGCATGCCACCACACCGAGCTTTTTTTTTTTTTTGTAGAGATGAGGTCTCTCTATATTGCTCAGCCTGGCCTCAAGCGATTGACCCTCTTGCCTCGGCCTTCCAAAGTGCTGGGATTACAGATGTGAGCCACCATACCTAGACAAAAAGAAAAATTAACGAAAAAAAGGCAGGTAGCCGGGCTCGGTGGCTCAGCCTGTAATCCCGCACCTTTGGGAGGCGGAGGTGAGTGGATTGCCTGTGCCCACGGGTTCAAGACCCGCCTGGGCAGCGAGACCTCATCTCTACAATAAATCAAAAAAAAAAAAAAAATCAGCTGGTCGTGGTAGTGCATGCCTGTAATTCCGGTTACTTGGAAGGCTGAGGCGGAAGGATCGCCAGAGCCCAGCAGGTCGAGGCTGCGGTGGCCGGGAGTGGCCACTGCACTCCAGTCTGGGCGACAGAGTGAGACTCCAACTCAAAAAAAAGGCAGGTACTTCCACAACCAGGGTCATTGGCTGCTTTGATTGATAACTCTGAACAGACGAAACACAAGGATCTAACTTGGGTTGAGGCATTGGGAGGGGAAAGTGTGGAGTAAGGATCTGATAGGGCACATGGTCAGCAAAAAAATCATACAAGAACT